TATAAAAGTGTATATTTGCTGGATTTGAATTATCTCATTTAATTCTTAAAACCCTTCTAAGGTTCTATATTAAGCCCTTTCTGTATCTGTGGAGACCAAAGTGGTCATGGGGTTGATGTGCTCAAGATATTGTAGAATTCAGATGGAATTCAGAAGCAGCCTCCTTGGCCCAAGGACCCAAAGTCCTCCAGACCTTTAACTGTATTGTACACGATGTTAAAGTGAATCCAGTCCTTGAGTCTTTGTGGAGTCCCTTCACTGCTCCTGAAGTCAGACTCTTAGGAACCTTGTTTAATTTTGTGTGATTTATATCATCCTCTTTCAGAAATTTCTCTGTCTATGTTGGGTCATAGAAAGATGTTTCAGCATTAACATGACTGTTGTATATTCTGGGGCAGCCTTAAGTTCCCCATTGTCTCAGAATACGGTAAGTTCTGGAACACCATAGGTGCTTACCAGGATCTGTGTCACTGAGGGTACAAGCCAGGAACAGACAGCCAGGGTTAGTGTGGTCAAATAGTGTGTATACCTTTCTGGTATATTGGTTTTCCAGCATACTTCTCAAGTTTCATGAACCTGTTAGTCTTATTTCAGGTTGTTTATTTGTAGTCAGACTCTGTATATGAAGGACTAGCCATTCTAAGCACTTCCAGTCATGAAAGATAGTAGTTGGAGCCACCTGGATAGATGAGAGCAACATTGTCATGAGTCTGTATGCATCTGAGTTTATAAACCTGAGGTGGTAAACTAATTTTTAAAAAGGCTCTACCTCTGATGAGATAGGTGTATGAAATCCTACAAGGCAAAATGCTTTAAATGATGCTTTCAGGTTTGGTTGAGGGGATAGTACACAAATAACTCTTGCGCTATCGCCTCTGGGGTTCAGCATCCCGGGGCCTTTCTGAGGCCCATGTCCCTGCTCACCTCTGTCCTGCTGCCACAGCCACTTTGCTGTCTTGCACCAACCACGTTCCCACTGAGGACTTTCGCCCTTGTCCCTTTCACCTGGTAACTTTTCCCTAAAGTAACTCCCATGGCCACATCCCTGCTTTCTTCCTTTCAGGAGTCTATCAGATGTTATCAGGAGCCCTTTCCTTACCAACCTGTTGTTAACAGCCCCTCTGCCTTTTTCTAACACTGGCCTTTCCTGCCCCTTGGCTTTCCCTTCCTGGTATCAACTGTCCCCTTCCGGTATACTCTGAATGTTCGTATTTCTTAACTTTAAATTGCTCTCTCCTGGAATGAAGGGGTGTTGTATGTTTATTTACCCTAGAACAGCTCTGTGCATTTAAGTACTAAATATTTGTTGGATGAACGAATGCAGGATGAACTTGAGTCAGTTCATATTTATGGGAAGCAGTGCCTTTATCCATTCCCATTGCAGTCAGGGTAGTGGGCAGTGGAATAAAGTGAGCTAATCCTGGGTGTAGGATAATCATGCTTGATGATCAGATTTGCTGTGAATGGTTGCTGTAAAGTGCTGATGTCATTTACTCTTGTAGCTGTTTCTATTTTTAACTAAAATTAGAGGAACAATTTCAGTTATTCAGTGCAAACTTTTAAAATTTTTTTCAAATTGATTTGATGAGCCTAAAGGACTAAGACCGAGGTGTGTTCTAAGGGGTTCATTTCATTTTCAATCCTGTGGCCATCATGGTGGACCTGCAGAATTCACGTTGGACTGTGGACTATCAACCCTGGAGTATGGCCAAGAGGCAACTGTGGTCATGTAGGTCCCCTTCCTGGCCGAGGGATGAAAGGGCGTCCTGATTCTGGCCGTTCAAGCTGAAGGGAAGACTGATGGGAGCTTCTAGGGAAGATTTCCACAAGCCTGAGAGTACAGCAGAGCAAGAGGTGGCCTCGCGCTTCTGGACATCAGCGGTACCGGGAGAGAAGCCTGCAGCCGCCCCGTGCCCAGTGCTGCCAACTGGCCAGCCTGCCTCTGCACCACTCGTTACATTAGAAAATAAACTTCTTTCTCATGCCGTTGTCAGTTGGTGTCTTGTTAATGGCTGCTTGAGGAACAGTAAAACTGATATATCTCATTTTGTAACATTATTTTTATTTTTATTTCATTCCTACAGCCTCACCGTTATTCCTCATAATAAATCCTGTTCGAAAAACTTTCCCTTTGACTGCATTGAGCTTTTATGCATGCATTTTTCTCATTTAACTTTGGCTTACTTTTTGCTTCTTATCAACCAATATGAGTTTGGTGGCAAAAATGGTTTTGGAAATACCAGAATAGAAGTTGCTAGGGCTGATTTTCCACTATGGGTAACTATACCAGTCTTAGTCTAGAATTTCTTTAAATGATTCTAAGAGTCTGGGCAAAGAGACGTATTAACGTGACCCTCAACTTCTTTGGAATTTCTAATGTTTATTTTTGTGCTGGTTTCATCTCTGGAAATAGCGCTGACAAGGTACTTAGAAGTTTACAGTTCAACTGCCACTTTGGACAGAAAAAAACCTACTCAATATTTTCTCCTGTTTACATGCTATTGCTTTCTCCTCTTACGTTTTCATGTTTGACAACTTCAATTTCACAGGCAAATAACTCCCAGTTGATTTATAGAAAACCAACTCTTGGAGCTCTGTATGTCTGAATATTGGAATACTGGCAGTTTTCAAACACTTTCAGCATCAGATTTTTTTCTCCAAATAATACCTTTCTCAGGTTCCAGTATAAGTCAGTTTCTCTGGCCATTTAAATCTACCATAAAGTGGGTACTATTTCCTTGCTAATTGTGCCTGTGGAGCACGGTTTAAAATCTTGCTACATGTGAGGTTAGTGAAGCATGGCCCATTAACTGTTCGTCCACACTGGGATACTTTTGAGAGTGAAATACCATTCCAGGACAAAGTACACGAAGGGGATGTCCCAGGCAGACTAGGCCCATGGACTGAAAAGGTGCATGCTGGAATAGGGGTAGGAGTGTCTGGTGAGTCACAGTAGGGAAATCGATGCCCCTCTGCAGCCCAGGCCACACCAGTGCAGCTGTGGAGCCTTTTGCAGCCACACAGAGGGACACCATAGGCACACCTCTGGGTGTGTTCAAAGTGTAGGTGCTTCTGTGTAGGGGTGTTAGCTGAGGTGCTGAGAATGCAAAGATAAATTTGGCGATTCTAAAGCTCCTTTAGCTTTACCCATTCCTTCAGCAGTTCTGGCAATAAATAGTTGACAGCTGTCCTTTACCAGTCTAGTATGTAAGGATGGGTTATTTAAATGAAAGGGGATCAGGAGTTCTTAGCCCTGTGTTTGAATTTTAGATGAGATGTGTTTTAAGAGGACTTCATCTCTACCCTACTTCCTGAACTTGAATTATAGTTCGTTCCTGTGGGTATTTGTGTAAGTTCCTTTTAGACTCTTAACACTTAGGTTCACACTCAAATGTCGAATGCTACCATGTGTTTTGGAGATGATTTTACTAATTGGGTTTTATGTGGAAATAGTTTTAGAAATAAGTAATGTGGGGATAAAAGTGACGTGGACCAGTCCCATGCATTTCTGTTGGTGTGTCTTTTTATGATTTGGGAACAGGATCATAGAAGGATGTTTTTGTCAATTAAAGAAAAATGGATAGAGAAAAGGAAACAGTAAGGAAAAATATGAAGAATCAAGAACAAAAAGCAAAATGCATTGAAACAAGAATTTTTGAGACTGCAATAGCACATATACATTAAGAGCCTGACAAAGGTGTGTAAGATGAGCAAATGGCCTCTGTGTTTTCCAGTCCAGGCTGCTGCCACGTACAGTGCACGCACTTAGTAACAGTGCCTCTTGCCATAGGGTTCTCAGTGAAGTCACAAAACGCCCAGGATTCAGTAAGGGACCTCTTCAGACTCAGCCTAGCTTTGTGTTCTAAAAGTGAGAGGACCTCAAACGCTACGCAGAAATGAAAGTATGAGTTTATTTTGGTGCAAAAGCTGAAGCCCATGTATAGATTTTTTTGTTAATAATTTGTTTTCCATGAACTTTGAGAAGGCCACCAGTTTAGTTTTCCTCACAATCTGTTTTACATTTTTGCAAAAAAAAGAACTACTACTTTTCTGAAATTTTAGAGTAAATTTAATTGTTTTCCTAGTAAAACTTTGAAAAGGATAATTTCAGTTTCCAAGATCCACAGTCTTTAGGCACATTTAATTGTTTTCCTAGTAAAACTTTGCAAAAGATAATTTCAGTTTCCAAGATCCACAATCTTTAGGTGCAGAAGTTGATCCTCACCCAAGATCGCACAGTTAGGAACATCATGAACTACATGCTGTTTCGGGATTTCAGTTCCAGGGTTGTATTTAATTCAAGGTCTATTGTATTTTACTGTTCACATATAAAATACTTAAAAAGTAACGCAGTATAATAGATTTTAGATTGCTGTTGACTTTAAAACCATGTTATCTACCCTGGTATTTACTTTCCTTAGGACTTACTTTAAATACAACCATATCTTTTCACTGTTGTAGAATATTACTGGAGAGTACTACCTTTACAAGCTTGTAAAAAGCTAAATACAACTTCATCTTGTTTTAAAATATTTGTAGTTTTTAAAGAAGAACAAATAGTTATATCTAAACTGAAATGCAGAGTGCACTTATAGAAACAACAGAAAGTTCAAGTACATCTTCATGGTCTCATTGCTGACTTCAGAGTTCAGCAGTTTGACATCAAGCAATCAGTCATGAATGAAAGAGGAGCTTGACCTTCTCTGAACGTCCTTTGGTGGATTTAGAGATGACTGGATATTTTAAAGATTTCTGAGCACTTAAACACTTCTGTTTTTTTTTTTTTTTTAATGAAAGGCTAACGTAGACAAGGGGAGCCCAAACCCGCATGTGAAGTTAAAGAGCAAACTATTTCCTTCTATTTTTAGGCCTGTAGGATTGGAAATTAAGGATTACTTGTACTGTTGATGAACTATTTGAAAATATTATTTTTCCTGGTTTATATGTCAAACAAAAACAATCAAAAAAGCTCAAGTTAACTTTGTGAATAAAAAATGCAGGACTTAAAGAAAAATCTGCTTCAGAGCCAACAGTCCCACCGGAAGAGGCTGAGCCACTTGTTGAGCCGGAGGAGCAGGCTCCCTTGGGGACAGGTAAGTTGTCTTCGAAGTCTCACCTGAACACTCTCTTAGCCTGGCAGGAAACCCCATTTGCAGTTTATGGAGTTTAGTTTTCCTCACATTCTGTTTTACATTTTTGCAAAATAATTACTACTTTTCTGAAATTTTAGGATAAATTTAATTGTTTTCCTAGTAAAACTTTGCAAGGATAATTACAGTTTCCAAGATCCACAATCTTTAGGCACAGAAGTTGTTCCTCACCCAAGATCGCAGTTAGGAACATCATGAACTACATGCTGTTTCTGGATTTCAGTTCCAGCACTACTCTTACCATATTAAATTGAAAGTAAAAATAGATACTTCGTACACCAGTGTTCAGTGTTTGTCACAATGTTTAGTAGAGTAGGTCTAGTAGTTTCACAGTCTTTTTTTACATGAAGGTCTCCATGCTACATCAAAGATTCCACAGACCTGTGTGATGGTCTGTGAGGTGTGTGTCATATCTATAAGGATTCATGGATGAATATAAGTATCTTCATAGCCACCCAAAGGTCCATGGCCTATAGATTGGAAAATCTTGAAGTCTTTAAATACATTTGTAAATAAAATTTTAATCCAGTACTATTTTCCTATTTATGGTATGGTATTTATCAAAAAGTGCTGCTTAGTGTCTGCACCATTTTCAGTTACGCAGTTCTCCAGAAATTTGGTTTTTGTCTGCCACCTATTGGAAGTGTTAGGTATGACACTACATGTTTACTAGCAACTGCCAGGTACAGTTTCCAAAGGGTCCTTAGGCTACATTTTACCACCGTGTACTGATTAATATCCTTTGATGTTCTTTCTTTTAAGATCAGTGTGTTCTGGTTTTTGTCATCTAGTCAAATGCTAATCTCAGTTGAATTTACTGTGTCTCCCATTCCTTAAGAATTGCTATAACCATAGCTGTGGCTCTGGAACAGATCATGTAAATTAAAAATACATATATATATATATAATTTCACAATCTTGTTTTTCAAAGCTAGTACCTTCTCTGTGATTCTGTGCCATCTGCTTTCCACCCTGACCCCTCTTCTTAATCAGTGTTAGTCTTTACAAATTACTGATCATTTGTCCCTGTGATCCATTATATTATTATTAGCCCATATCCTTTTTGCTTCCTGGCAACATATATATTGGTTTAAATGTTGCCTTTTCAACCTTTGTCTTTCTAAGTTTTGAACTTTACTCTCTTCTCTGACTCCATTCTATTCTACAAACAGTTCCCTACATCACAGAAATACAGCCAAGTGCAGTCTGTGTTAACCTGCGTGTGCCATCCCATCCTTCTCTTCACATAATGAAAGAATCTGCAGTCAGCTTTCCACTTTATTTTTAATTTGTTCTTTAACCCATTATGTCCTGCTTCTACATCTACTAACCCTTACCAGAGAAATAACATTTGCAAAATCTGAGGAAAATGAAATGGCATGTTCTTTTCTGTTCTCAAAGCTGGTGTTTGTGGGAAGTGATTCTGGAGCAGCGTGCAAGGGCTCCATTGTGAAGGTCTTACATTTCAAGCAGCTTGGGTTTTCAGCTGGCCATGCAGAGGAAGCTAGAAGGTTCTACAAAGGAGCAAAGTGTGCCACCTTCTGATTTTATATATATATATATACACACACACACACACACATATATATGTATATATGTGTGTGTGTATATATATATATATATTCATACATATACATATAAACATCTATAAAAACACAAGGCATTTCTGTGGTTTAGAAACAGCTTTTAGTGTTATGAGCATAATAGATGTTACATTTAAACGTTCTCCCTGCCTGAAGTTCAAGGTAATTTACTGAGTTTGTCATTGAAGATTAGCTCTTTAACATAACTCATGTCACTGGCATTACTTTATATGAAAGCGTTTATGATACCAAATCAGTGCCGCTTTTATTCACGGAATGCAGATTATTGTTTGCCAGAAAAGTTACAACATTTGTCAGTGTGATTATGGCTTCTTGTTCATTGTGGTGGTGTAATAAGTCTGATAATCTGATAAACACTACAGTGTTGTCAGAAAGTCGTCATTAATGTTCACTTTAAAACTCACATTTTTTTGAATCTATGGACATAAATGCCAGTTGCAGTTCTCCAAAGCTGAGAGAACTGTCAGTTATAATGGACCATCTCCTCACTCTTCTGACAGCTTCTGGGCGTGGGCAGCCAGCTCTGTTCACTCCAAGTCCCCAACGCAGCCATGGTGCCCTTTCTCCTGACTGCCAGGCAAAGAGAGGGGTTGGCCATGTAATCTGTACTGACCTGGTCTCCCACATTTTTATCTTTATTTCCCTGTACTTCCCTTTTTGGAAGCTTTGTCATTTCCACTTTCTATTATTCACGTGAATTTTATTAATTAGAAAATGAAGTCGTTTTGCATTTTCTTCTTAGACTTTTTTCTTAAAGGAAAACCTGAACCTGATTTATTTTTTTTCTTTAAATGTCTTATTAAAAATCTTTTAGCATTTATATCTGCCAACAAACCCAATGTTACATATCTACCCTGTTTGCAACAAGTGCCAAGTTGATATGAACAGAGTGCATAGTTGTTTAGTTCATTGTAGGGTATATACGTGAGTGCCATAATTGAGTGTTAGCTCCACCTGAATGTTTAATTTTTTTCTACTTAGTTATGTTTTATAATTATTTTAGAACCTCAGAATATCGAAGATGAAGTGAAAGAACAAATACAGTCCCTTCTTCATGAAACGGTACACATAGAACATGGTATGAATTAAAATCTACTGTTTTGTCTTGCGTTACTAAAATAATACTTAATTACATTTAACAACTTAAACATTATTTAAATTTTAAATGTTAATTGGGTGTTTTGTTTTGTTTTCAAAATTTTCAGCCAGTGATCTAGAAGGGCAAGTATATTTCTAAAATAACACTAGACAGTCTTTATCTTACCCCCCTCTCTGTGGAGCTTATTGCATACATCTGATAAATAAATTGTGGGAAAAAATGAGAATAAACAAATTAGGAATCTATCAAGAATAGAGAAGGAAAACAGAGCACGAGCAAATTGTGATGGGTTATCCAGTTACTACCAGCAACGAAAACAAACAAGGAGAAACTTTTAACTATATAAGTTGCCAGGCGGGGGTAAAAAAATGCTATTTGCTTAGAGAATATAAAGCAATCTCCTAGCATTAGACCTGAAAAATTTCCCATGTGGAGTCTAGAACCCGGTGTTTGAGAATTTGTTGAAGACTGAGTATTAAGACATTTCTTGGTAAGAAGGAAAGCATGAACCCAAAATAAAGTTGTGAAAGGATTGTGAAGGGGCAGATCACCATTATATCCTGATAGTACTGATGATTTGGTGTGATCCAAGCATAGCCCTGAAGGAAAACCCTTGTGTCTCTTAAGAACAAACAGTTCCTGGGCCATCCTGTGGCATGGTGGTTAAGGTACCGGGATCCTACATGGCCGACTGTGGTTCAAGTCCTGGACCTTGTGGTTTGAAAACCATGACAAGTGTGTGTACATCTTTGCCCAAAGTCACAAAAGGAGGGAGAAATGGAGAAGGGATTGAGGCGTGACCATCCCCCATGAGGGGTGCTTTTTCACTCTTTACCCCCTCCCCCACTGCCCATTTCTTTGTCTGTTTCTGGTGAGCGCATGCACCCTCTAACAAAACCAGAGATAATTCCCTGTCATTTAAACTGATTTCTGCTAATGGCTGCTAAGGGTATAGTAGTTGAATTCTTTAATTACCACCAACTTCTCTGCATATTCTCCTATGTAGCAATCCCAGGCTTCCCCTTCCCACAGCTTTTTTGGTTTTGTTTTAACTTTGACCTAACACAAGGAAGACACAGTCTAAACACATGATTACAGTGTGAGGAGAAACATGCTGCAGTGGAGAAACGCGGAATGTTCCAAGGGACTTACCCAGACACAGCTCAGAAGAGGCGTCCTGGAAAAAATGACATCTTCATTTAGGAGCTGAAGGTTGGCGCAGAACCTGGCCAGCGCTGTTAGGGTTTTAAGCAGAGGGCATACCTTGTGTGAGGCCCAGGGGCAAGAGGAGCTGGGAGTGGTTCCGAATGTGAGGGTGGGCAGGCATGTGTGCAGCAGGGTGACCAGAAGGCAGTAACCCCAGTGAGCCAAACTCACTCAACCCCAGGTGGGAATAGAGAGAAGTGGAAAGGTGACATAGGTGTTCAGGCAGCTCGGGGAGGGACAGCTAGCCAGAGGAGAGAAGAATAAAATCTCGCACCTTGTTCCCACTGCAGGTGCTTTCTTGGACCTTTTCTTGTCTTCATTGAACCTTTCTTCTTAGAAATCACATATGTGGTCTATAGCTTTATATATGTAAATATTTATATACTGACTTCCTAGTATGCAGCAGTCATGTGTGTGCACGCATGCGCTCCGGGATTCTACCATTCATGGATGGGAAGCATTAGGTTGCTGCTGACCTGCGCAGGGCACTTAGGCCCACGATGGTTGCATCAGCACTGATCAACTCCAGATGTTTTCTTGTTGTTATTCCCTAAATAATACAGTGTAGTCCCTACTTCCACAGCATTTACACCATCGTAGATATGAGTAATCTAGAGGTGATTTAATGTCTATGTGTAGGATATATGTAAACTCTGTGCCATTTTATATTAAGAACTTGAGCATCCTTGGATTTTGGTATCTACAGGGGCCTGAAACCAATTCCTCACGGTTCCTAAGGGACAGCTGATAGCCCACAGCCCTGTTTGTCTAGACTGGTTTATTCAACTGCACATTTGACATCTGCGTTTGCATGGCTTATGGATGTCTTAGACTTAAAGTAGCCGAACACAGGACTCCCCACCTCACAGCTCCTGCCCTTACCATCCACCTCAAAAGACTGCTCTTTTGTCTTTCTCGTTAATGGCCTTCCCACCCACATAGTTGGTTTTCTGTGATTTCTCTCCCTTTTCTTGTCTCACATCTGATCTATCAGCGGGTCCGTTTGTGTCCCGACTCTCCAAGCCAATAGCATTGTCTGGGCCTCACTGTTCCCGTTCTTGCTAAGCTAGACCATGCTGTGGTCTGAATGTGGTCTAGCCAGTTGTTTCTTCTCTGGTCCCAGCCTCGCTCCCTTCCATCCCTTCTCTCTAGCCCAGGTGGCCTTTTCTTTTTCTCAAAATGGCCGAGCCTGTTCCTGCACTCGTGGTACCTTCTGCCGGTCCATGTTCGCATCTCTGCCTAGTCTCCAAGCCCCCCAGACCCAGCATGGCCTCCTGAGCATCATGTCTGACGTCGGCCTCCTGTCCCATCATGTGCATTTCATCCCTGCATTCAGATTTTGCATCCTCTGTGTAATAGTTGCTTTAGCAAAGGATTTCAGGTTCCTCGTCTTTCAAAGCAGGATAACAGTGCCCACTTCATGGATGGTGTCAGAGCTGTAGAGGATTTGGCTATGCCTAGAGGCAAGTAGACCATCAGAAAGTTATCAGGCTGTCCCTGACAGTAGAGACGCAATGACCATGTAAGTTTGATTGTTTTCCCTGCTAAAACAGGCACCTCCACACCTCCGTTGAATAGCAGTGGCCGAGAGCCAATCCTGCTCATGTAAAAACCATAAAATCGCACCATACAGAATGCAAAGAGTTTCAGGAGAAAGGAGTATGATAAAAAGAAATAGTAAAATTCACAGCAGGAGTTAGAATTAGTGCTTGGTTTGCTGACTAGCAAGTAGAGGAGAAACTACCTAGCAGGATGCAGTAAGGACAGTACACACAGGCTGCAGGACTCAGTGACACCCAGTGACACCACACCACGCTTTATTAGCAGGTAACGAAGGAGTCCTTCCTGTACTGGGTGGGGAGTAGGATTCAGTAACTGTAGAAATAGTAAGATTGTGATTGCTGTGATGATGATGGTAACAATAACACATAACAACTTATTATGGGTATGGGCCAGATACTTTTCTAAGTATAGGAGTCCTTCCTGTACTGGGTGGGGAGTAGGATTCAGTAACTGTAGAAATAGTAAGATTGTGATTGCTGTGATGATGATGGTAACAATAACACATAACAACTTATGGGTATGGGCCAGATACTTTTCTAAGTCTAAGTATTTTAATCTTCACAACAATGTTATGAATAATTTATAGAAGGGAAATCTTAAGCACAGAGAAGTTAAGTACTTTACCTATAGTCACACACCTGTAGTAGGAAAGAACCTAAATCCAGAGCCATACGCTTCTAATCACTGTGCAGCTCTGCACATCTAAGTCTGGTTCACTCAAGTTCTGTGCGTGTGTGTGTACATATATGTATCTATGCATGTATGTATACATATGTACACACGGGAGGTACTCTGTGGGAAGCCATGACAGGGTACTGTGGGGTCCTCTTTAGGCATGATAACAATCTCAGCCGTATTGTAGTACAATAATGGAGTGTCCAACATCACAAAGGAAACAGAACATTTCAATATATCATGGAAGTTAATCTCAGAAGAGACAGTGCGCACGTTTACATAACTTAGGGCTAAACGTAGAACGTTTGCATGCCCAGTGTGATATGGGTACATCTGAGACCCAGCACATGATGGAGACAGGCAGAAAGCTATTCTTTGCCGTGCGTTATTTGAATAGTCATTTAAAGTTGTTACATGGACGTGTATGTCAGTTCTCAGTAAAAGGTCATAGTGTAACCTCTTCTCAGACCCCATGATAATTGAAGAGGCAAGTACCTTAGTGACTGAATTAGTTCATTCATGCATCAGATATTGACTGAGTACTTCCGATGGCTAGACATGGCCGAGGTGCCAGACATCAGTAGTGACCAAAATGTGTGAGATCTCTGTCCTTGGGGAGTTCATGTTCTGTTGAGGGGCGACCTGTTTTTCCCCTTACGCAGACACACACCGAGCTGCAATGAGAAAGTAGCTCCAGAGTGGATAAAAGCCCGCAGTGGCCCAAGGTGGGGGTACCCAGTAGCACGCGGGGTCCCGTGACTGCCCTTCCTAAGTGCTCCCGTGTCAATCTGGCTGCTGCCTATGGGGCCTCCCCATTGACCCAGGTCACTTTGCTCATTGTCCTTGTTGAAGGAGAGGACCTGCAACCCGAAGAGGATGGCCTCCCAGGAGAACCACAGCCGGAAGATGATTTCCTTACAGCAGGTGACATGGATGAGCAATTTGAGACCCTGGAACCTGGAACAGTTCCTGAAGGTAGAGCACATTTTGGTTGAGAGATAAAACGTGGTAGAAAATTGAGATATTTCTTAATCTTCTTTAAAACCAACATTTAATTATTATCTAGTTCTTTTTTTTTTTTTTTTAAGTTTCTTTTTTGAGAGAGAGGCAGGCAGACAGGCATGCCTCAACAGAGTTTTGCCACGCTGGCCTATGGGGCCTCCCCATTGACCCAGGTCACTTTGCTCATTGTCCTTGTTGAAGGAGAGGACCTGCAACCCGAAGAGGATGGCCTCCCAGGAGAACCACAGCCGGAGGATGATTTCCTTACAGCAGGTGACATGGATGAGCAATTTGAGACCCTGGAACCCGGAACAGTTCCTGAAGGTAGAGCACATTTTGGTTGAGAGATAAAACGTGGTAGAAAATTGAGATATTTCTTAATCTTCTTTAAAACCAACATTTAATTATTATCTAGTTCTTTTTTTTTTTTTTTTTAAGTTTCTTTTTTGAGAGAGAGGCAGGTAGACAGGCATGTCTCAACAGAGTTTTGCCACGCTGAGATCCTCCTTTGAGCTTCCAGCAGCCAGGATCATGATACACCTGTGGGCACACCCATGTTCAGGTGGCCCAGTGATCTGAACCCGGGCCTCTCCGAGTGACTCCAACATTCTGCAGGCTGACTGCTGCTCAGCTGCTGCTACTTGGCCTGATGTTTTTCTTTTAAAATGATGCTTAAAGTTTCGATTAAAGTGATTTTTTTTTCCTGAAAGAAATATTTTGATTATAATTCAAATAATTTTTAAAAGAATTGTTTAATTTTTATTTGTTGTTACTCATTTTTTAAATTTGACCAGAGAGAGACAGCGCGAGAGACAGAAAAGTGAGAAAGCAAGCCACCAGGTCTAGGACTAGAACTGCAGTTGGCCATGTGAGAGTCCAGTGCCTTAACTACCTTGCCACCTACCAGCCCAACTCAGAGCACTTTTAAGGGAAACTCAGGGTCTGTGAGTTTCTCACAAATATTGACTGAAATACTCAGCTTTCAGAGTACTTTTACTACATTCTTCTGCTTATGGTGCCTTATTTTTTAAATATGAAATCTTTATGAAAATTCAAATATATTCAATTTGCTGTATGAAGTATTTGACTTAGTAATCTGTCATGGGGTCTTATTTTAATTTGAGCTCTGTAACTACAGTGGGTCGAACATAATTCTTAACTTCATACCAGGCTTTGGCAAACCTTTCTTGTAAATGGTCAGATACTAGATATTTCAGCCTTGCAGACCACAAAGCCCTGCAGTTACTCGGCTCTGCCTTGGTAGCACAGAAGTAGCCATAGACATAAGTACGTTAAGTGTGGCAGGTTTCTGCAAAAAATTTACTTAGAAAATCCTATGCAATTTAGTTGGAAAGTGCTTGGAAGGGCTTTTTTTTTTCTTGTTTTTTTTTTTTTTTTAAAGGGTTTTTGCCTAGGGTGCATGTGCTTGCCAGAGAGAGAGACACACACACAGTGAAAGTGAGAAATTGCTGCCGGTGGAAATAACCACGCCATAATCCCTTCTCCCCCGTTCTCCTCTTGGGCATGCACGGACACCTACCTAGTGTGATTTTCAAGTTGCCTGGTCTGGGATTTGAACCCTGGTAGGCCATGTAGGAGTCTAGCATCTTTACCACCACACCACCTGCTGACTCCAACAAAGTCTTTTAAAGTATAAAAGTGATGGAAAAGTTAAGTCTGCTTTTCACAGTATTTTGTATTTTGGAAAATTACCTTAAAAGCAGGCAGTTCCTCTAATTTGAAAGTTGATGTATTTCCAAAAGCTTTTATCCACACCTCTCGTTTAGAGCAGAGCAGACACTTTCCCATTGACTAATATAAATGATGACTTGGTTTCCATACCAACCTACAGAATTGGATTTTCTGTGAGAAAAACCAAGCAGGAAATGCTTTTAAATATGTGTATGATTTACACTGCATAATACATTGAAAATAGGTGTTTGTAGATAAGCTTTAGAACTTTAGGCCTTTCATAATCATGTGTGTCATGATTTCTGTGGGCAATTGTTTCTGGTTTCGAGTTGATGTGCTGATGAGGAGTGATTCCCAACCCCTTGTATCACTTGCTCCCTCTCATCTTTGGCCAGGATAGCTCAACTGGATTCACAAGTGCTCAGAATTTTGGCTGGTAGAGCCTGCCTATTCAACAAATTTCAGTTAAGATCCTCAAATTACTAGAAACACAAGGAATTTGATATACATATTTTAAAGAATTATTTGCTTAATTCCATAGTTGTTGTTATTTTTTTATTTGATCAGAGAGAGACACAGAAAGAGAGAAAGGGAAAATGAGAAAGCAAGCTTCCAGAGACAAGACTCGAACTGCAGTTGGCCATGTGGGAATCTAACACTTTTAACCACCATGCCACCTGCTATCCCAAAGCAATTTGAATTTTTAATGTTAGGAGTTCCACAATAGATCAGGAATAGGAAGAAATTCTTCTATTAAGTTCATAGATTGAAGAAATTTATTTCCTGACCTAATGTTTAATAGGGACATAGATCCAATTTGGACTTAAAAATCATTGAAGGGTTGACAGGTAGCATGTTGGTTAAGGACTCCCAAATGTCTGACCGTGGTTCAAGTCCTGAATCTAGCAGCTTGCTTTCTCACTTTTTCCCTCTTCTTTTCTCTCTCTCTTGTCAAATTAAAAAAAAATAAAATTAATTAAATTTAAAAAGAGTTGTTTGTTGACTGCCTTCAGGAATTAAAAAGATTGACACTTGACCTATCTGTTAAATAAAATTAACCAAGATCACACATGTAGTGAGAACTGTGTGGTGGCTGCACTGTTGTCTGAATTATGTGGCTTAAATAATCTACACATTTACTCTTTAGCTCCCCAAACATACACATCCCCTCCATTCTTCCTTTGTGCTTCCATCTGTAGACAATGTGCTTTCACTCTGAAATGGTAGGTGAGAACTACTAGAAAATAGACCACCACAGTGGAGTGTGAAGAGAACTAGAAATGAGCGCCTGTCCTGGGTCCATCCTTTGTCACTGTTTTATTCTATATAATTGTCCTTAGTACGGGACTTAAGTACGGGTTATGGAGTCTGTCAACCTTGTGGGGTTGTTGAATGGATTGAATAAGAGAATGTGTGATGTTTTGGAGTGTAGTTCTAGTGGAAGATAAAGTGTTAAGAAGCCATTTAAGTATTTCCATGTTTTATATTTACAATTATTTGCCTTTAAAATACAATTAATAATAAGCGTAATTTCAGCATATATACATACCATTTTATGAAAGTAGTTATGTCAATCTAATGTTTTTTCAGAAACGGAGGATAGTTACCATGTGGAAGAGACAGGTGAGAGATTTTTGTTTCGTGCTCTTCTTTGCTAGTTAGAATGAAGTTTTATTTTCCCTCTCAAAAGCAGTATGATAGAGATATAAAAATAAGTGAATGAAATCTCTTTGAAAATTCTATGAAATTCGCATATCGTAAGAAGCCTATGAGGGCCAGGTGGTGACGGGTTATAACACAACTAAATCCATGTGGGAAAGGTCCTGGGTTCACATGCTAAGGCTTCCCTGTACACACCTGGACATGTGTTATCCAGTGCAGCTAAGACTGGAGGTCGATTACAGCAGGAAAGCCTGCTTGGGGTGCTTTTTATTCCTATCTTTATCTTTTTCTCATAGAAGAAATTAAAAAAAAAATGCATAGATTTTTTTTTCTTTTTTTTTCCACTAAAAATACCTCATTCTTTAATTCTATTTTTCTATGAACTTGTTGAAGGTTCTTTGTAGCTGGGTGTGTAATACTATTTATTAATAATATATTTTAGGTTATTTTTCACATATATAATGTGCTTATACTATTTATTAATAATATATTTTAGGTTATTTGTCACATATATAATGTGCTTATATATTTTATCATATATATATATATATATATGTATTTTAATATATATTCTGTGTGAGTGTGTGTGTTTAAGATTTATGTTATAGGGCGTTTGCATTCGCTGGAGAGACATAGAAAGACAGAAGCACAGAAAGTGAGAAATCACCCCCCTGGGAGATGGCCCACATTTCAAGCCCTTCTCTTCCATTCTCCTCTCAGGATCTTGGGCATACATGCACAGATGCCTGACATGAGTTTCAAACCTCCAGGTCTGGGACTCAAGCCATGATCGGTCATATGAGAATCCAGCAATGTAACCATTACATCATCTGCTGGTCCCTATATTTTGTCTTTTAAAACCTTATGTCTTGCCTCTCCTCCTCAGTCAGAAGGTCAGGGCAGCTCTCAGCTTTCAAGCAGAGCCCATCTCCATCTGCAGCCTCCTGCCCAGTCAGAGAAACTGGGGTAGGGCTGAACTTTATCCATAGCCCCAGGCCCAGCTCTCAACCTCAGAGCACCCCGCCACCCTACCCCAAGCCAGAAAGGTCAGGACAGCTCTTAGCGCTCAAGCAGAGTCCATCGCCCTTCTGTAACTTCCAGCCGAACTCTCAGGGGGATAAATCACCAAAAAAACCTTTTCTTTTTTCCTCTTACATTTTCTTTTTTTCTTCCACTTTACATTGTCATTTTTGGCTCATCCTCTAGCTCCCAGAAGGATTAGGCAGGTCTAGAATTGTATCTTTTAAACATCCTAGGATCGTGAGTCTCTCAAGAATCCTTGTCTAGCACTGAACCACCAGCAAAAAAAGGAGAAACTGCTTTTCAAAAACCTGAATAGAAAACTCCTCCTGTGTGGATCACTTTACTGACCACAACAGAAGAGAGACTGGCACAGAAACAGTGCACAGCAAAAGAGAAGCAAACTAGTTCCCAGTTATAGAAATTTTTCCAAGGGCTATCCAAAAGTGAATATATCACCAAATGAATAAAAGTCACAGAAGAGTCTCAAGTATGAAATATACAGGAAATAAGACTCCATCAAAAGAACAGAATAACTTTCCTCTATCTTTGGAAGAAACAGAAGTTACCGAAATGTCAGAGAAAGAATTCAGAACATTCATC